TTAAAAGCTGTTATTATCATTCACATTATAATGTATTGCTGGGACTTGTAGTCCTGCATCAGAATAGCACCAACTATGCAGGACCACAAGTCCCAGCAATACATTATATTATTAAGTAGGGATGCACAAATGTGTGTGTGTTTTGTGGGGGGGGGGTGTTAAAAAGCTGTTATTATTTACATTATAATGCATTGCTGGAACACCCCAGAACGCAGTGAGCTGGACGGGTTGCAATCCAGTGTGTTCCAGCACTAAACCGGCCGGAACACACTGGAGCTGGTGTGAACTAGCCCTGAAAAAAAAAATACTTTTCATTTAATAGAAGAAAACAAAAAGGTATCAAAATCATGTTTTTATTGGGGGGGGGGGGGCCTCAATGGTTTCTTGCACCGGGGCCCTGGGGTTTCTAGTTACGCCTCTGGGCAATGGGATGGATGCCCAGAACATAGGCATCTGAAATTGTACTACAATAGCATTGCCATTCTTCTTTAGTCTTCTTACAGACAAAAAAAAAAAAGCTCTTATAAAGGAGTATATTGGAAGACACGTTTAGTGTGGCCACTTCTATTCCTAGCCATGTCAACCCTTTCCTATACCAACATAGCAGAAGATAGCACAATATACAGACATTCATCATCATTATCTGATATCCAATATACCAATATACCTGTACAGACCATTTTTCTATAGCTTTATGGACTATTTCCCAAATAGAATTTGATGAATTGCAGACAAAGTTTTAATTAATGCATGGTTTCACGACCTAGGCGTTATTCAAGTTAGATTTATGCATTTTACAAGCTTGAATTTGCATTCTAGGGATTGCTACGGTAAGCAGGCACAAGCAGTTCTGGGTAAGGGCTACAAGCAGTTGTGAATTTATGCACTTGGAAGAATAATTGTAATTAATTGTTTCACTACAAAACCTGCTGGACCATAATTGAGAGGTTTAAAAAGCAGATTGTTTAGGAGAAACTAATTTATTTTCCAAATTTATGAGAAATGTGATCTGCAGAAATGAAGGCTATTCTGCAGTATTAAGGGCAAACTATGCATTGCCCACTTACTCAAGTCTTAAGTGATTAATAGGTGAACTATATTAAAAACATCTGAAGTTAATCTATTAGCTAAATGGTCAATTAATAGCACTATAAAAACTATAAGGTCTGCATAACAGATATATGAAAAGTTATATGTATTGAAGAAGGTAAAATTTCCTGTTACCCATGGCAACCAATTCCTGGTTTGTACTGGAACTGTAAAAATGGCAATGTTAAGCAGATTAAATGCAATTAGTAATGTTTTTCGAACCATATTTCCTACACTAGCCCAACATTTCAATGTACATTGTAAGCCATCAGAGGCAAGGCCCTCCTTACCATCTTGTCTTGAATTGTATTGTGATTGTAATGTCTTCCTTATATTGTAAAGCGCTGCACAAACTGTTGGCACTATACAGTATAACTCCTGTATAATAATAATAAAAAGGTCCCTAGGGTCCTAAAGTAATTAGTTCTGCATGACGTGCAATCAGGATCAGCCATTCAGCACCAATATAGTCGTTTGTGCCTCTACATACTATACTATATATTACTCTGTTGCAAGTTTTCACTGTGCTTATTTAGGCTTTCCTTTTCTCTTACTTGGAGAATTAACAAGGTAATTACACCTGTTAGAACTTACATAATGTACTGCCACCATACGTATTCATGTGAAGTATCAATTCTGTGGACTATGCAGGCACATACAACATGTCCAACAACAGTGTCTGGCAACTGCTAACTACCTTCTTCCCACGTATCTTCTATCCTATACGTACTACGCCTTACACACTACAGCTAAAATTCCATGTGTTGACACAATATACAACATGGAAGGGGGGGTTTAATAGGTCTGTATTATGGGAACAAAAGATTATGCCATCATACGTTATATCCTCAAAATATGACATCTGATTTTTTTTCCTATTAACTGCACCTCTCAACACCTTGTTCTTATAAGCTTCTAAAATTATGATACTGTTACTCATAACTCATTACTGTGAAAAAGTGCTTCTGCCACTCGGTATCTAAACAGGGACTGATCCCACAAGAAAGTAAAATATTAGTTTAGAGTAAAACCTATGCAGAAGCTGTACTAACTTTTTATTAGGTTCCTGTGATTACAACAGAGAAAAGCTGATCCAAATAATGTACTTTTAATAATGAAACCTTATTAAAGCATATTATCAGAGGACCTGCATTAAAGCAGTAAATGTTTTCCTATTATTAAAGAGATGGGTAGATTTAAAAAAAAACTGTTCCCTGGTTTATTGCAATAACAAAATATTTTAACACTTTCAACACCACTCCAGCAAATACGTTTTTAAAAATTTTGGACATTGAGTGAAAGCGTCAGAACCCTTATGCCCGACCTGCGGCCCAGGGGCATCCTTTCACTGGCTTACCTGCCCAGTATCAGGACGCAGTTACATCTTGCTATGCCCCCTACTGTAAAAATATATTACAGCCCTCTTGTTTTCACATGTGACCAGCTCTAGAGAATAATTGCTGACCTATGCCTAGTCTGGTGCATTATTCTCTATGGGAATTTGAGCAAGTGGGGGAGCAATGAGATGCAAACAAGCCCATTCCTTGGGCAGGTCAAGCCCTGTGAGATTGATAAGGAGAAAGAGGATTGGAATCTCTAATAATGACTGCAGCTACTGGTTGACTATGACCATACAAATAATTAATAAGAATTTTCAACATCTGACCTTCCAATAAAGAAGAAACACAATTGCTCCCCTGTCCCATAACTCTCTAATTACCCTATGCCCATGTTCAGATTTTACTTTAAGGCCATCTGGTCAAATCTGGCACTACAGCACATTTATTCAAATTATGGTCAAGTTTGACCATCTTTCTAAGTGTATGGTGGTTCCACTGAGCTATGAAAACAAGAGCAGGTACAGGGTCTTTCTAATGGTTTGGTTAGGGCAGTGGTACATGGAAGACCAAGTTTGGGAGAAATAAGGACATTTTATTTACACTGGAGTCTCCTTTAAGCAATTAAGAGTTCTTGTGTAAAGTTTTCTAAATGTAAATGTCCACAGTATTTTACAACACTTGAATGGCAGTTTTCTTATGTTAATGGCCCAAACGGTCTTCTCCATATGCTACAATATATGGTCACCATTTCAGTGCAGTAACTCTTTAAGAATGAACCAAAATTTAAATAGCATAAATTCACAACTGCTAATGGGAGGGTTTGATTGATTTTGCAGGATGGGTAATTGGCAAAATAAAAAACAGTATCACCCACCAACCTGCCCATGGTTTTGCTCTTCCAGTCAGTGTAATAACATTTTTTCCTGTAAGAACAGTACAAGTCAGCTAAAGTGTAACATGCGTATTTAAACCAAGATGGATTCTTTTAGCGTTGACACTTTAAGACCATATGCATATTGCAATCTCAACAACCATCGCTGTACAATTTAATAGAATCTAGGATTTAACAAGTCATTTTAGATTGCCATCTGTGCATTCATTGACAACAGCAGAAAAGGTTCAAGAAGGAAAGCTAGAATTGTAAACTTTAGGTGCATTAGCTACAAACTCATGGGCTTTTCCAGCCTTGGATAAACCAAACTGTACAAAATTAAAGTTATGGAAAGCATAGAAAAAGAGTAAAATGTGCCCCTTTCTTGAAATCCATCCTTTAAAATAAACTTTCCTAAGAGAGACATACAGACTACCATTACTGACTTATCATTCTGAAATGCCAGCTGCCTGTCAGTCACTATCCAGAACATGTATTCAGATAAGGTCTTCCAACTTCCCCCTGACTTCTTGTTCCAGGTCAATGACTCAAAGTATTGAAGCCAATGGGCAGCTCAATAGCAAGACAACTAGCATCTAGCATTTTCGAACCAAGGTTAACAATGGCAGTCATCAAATTTCTCACAGGAAAGGCTCTATTTAATAAGTCACAAGCAAAGAGACTACTTGTTGGTTCAAAATTAATTATCTCTGTTCATTCTTTCTACTATGTCTCCTTCTGAAGTTACAAGGGAATCAAGAGACAACCCTTATTAGACATGTGCACTGCCAAAAAATTCGTTTCGTTTCGTTTTAAATTCGGATTTGTGTTATTTCGTTTTTCAGGATTCGGGTGTGAAAGTCAATTCGGATTCTCAATTCGGATTCGGACGAAATTCGGTAGCGTTAGTACGAACGTTCGTTTCGTTTTCTGTTCTTATTCGTTTCTTATTCGTTTCTTATTCGTTTCGTTCGTTTGCAGCAAAAGTGACATTTGAGGGGGAAAACATATTTTTCTCCTTTTCTAATGTCACTTTGCTCCAACGAACGAAACGAATAAGAAACGAATAAGAACAGAAAACGAAACGAACGTTCGTACGAACGCTACCGAATTTCGGAAATGGAAATTCGGATTTGTTTGCATTCGTTATGTCTGTAATTCGGAATTCGGATACATCCGAATGTCCGAATTTCCGAAAATTCGTCCGAATTTCGATTCGGAACGAAACGAATCGCACATGTCTACTGAGTATTAGCGCAAAGTACTGTCCAGTGCATACGGAATACAATGTGTAGGTACGCAAGCTCATATTATAGTCTTTAGATACACACTGTCTGTGTTGCCTATAGGGGCTAATCACTGTAAACTTTTAGATTTATTCTGGCTATAGGCAAAGTGAAACAGTTTTTTTTATTTTAGGGGCATAACTATAGCTATAGAATTGCATGTGACCTGCAAATGGATCAGCAATTGTTAATATAATCTGTGCATATAATTATATTATTTGATTTTAAAAAAAAACTTATATGCAATGATTGCATATATGTTTTGGGGGCCAGTATTCAGTGTCATTAGAAGAATTGCCTTTGTATAGAGGGGGCCCTAATGAGGACCTTGCACACACATTTGTAGCTGAGACATCTTCTTTATTAGCACATGGTTCATTTAACAAGATTCTCAAAATGGCTGATTAAACTCATCACAAAGCAAACATTACATAAACTTACAATAAGGCAAACATATGTAAAGAATGACAGTTAAACACTCTATAAACAATGGAGATGAAAAGATCTAGAGAAGCTCCAACTGTGCAGGGGGTTCCAAAAGTCTGGATTCATGGTCAGAATGTATTTAAAATGTTATTACAGTAAATGCTAAAAATGCACAGCTTTGGACTTTGTGACACGTGTGCATATGCTTAATACATGAACGCTGAATATAAGAATGTTGAACAGTTCTTAATGTAGCATGACGGATGTTGTTACACACAGAGGTGATGTTCTCTTTAGTGCAACATTCTGAGCCGATTCCAATAAAATCAGCCCAGAACAATCTACTGTCTTCAGATGACCCCAAAGAAAAAAAGTTGAGTGGTGTTATCTCTGGAGACCTAGGAGGCTATTCAACACTCACAATATTCCATACACCTGTCATTGTCATCACCATGCAGTTCCTGGACCGGCTATACTTTATAGGGATGGAAATTATTAATTTCTGGAATGCTTTGGATCCAGACCTTTGGGACATCCCGTACATCACAAACAACCTGTACTTCAATGTGGTTCCTCTAAACATTTAGCTCTTACAGAGTACTAGACTGAATGTTGTATTCATGGTGGTCCAGCAGGGGGCACTTGAACATTATTCTTGCACTCAACTGGGTTTTCAGCACATTTGTGTTATTAATTGCAAAACATGGGGGAAAAGTAAAGTGTCAGTGTTGGTAATAGCAACCAACATGTGTTATTTCACTCTCATTTTCCACTATAGATACACAACATGTGTACTTAGACTGCAAAGGGACTGCACATTTCCAGATTGTAAGAAACTATATTCATTTAACAAAGTTACTCCAAAAAATGTTTTCAGGGGTACCAATAGCAAATGTATTTGGGTATCAGAAAAACATTTCTATACTGATACTTGGGGCCCCACAAGATGAACACCACGAAATTGTGATTGGCTATTACATATAATACTTTTATTTTCCAACTTAATGCAGAGAACACCCATATTATATTGTGACAGGCTGTGTTTATTGCATGATGTACAGTTTACAGGCAGGGACCAGCGGGTGTGTGCTATGTTCTGTATAATACATGCCCCTTACTGGGCATTTTTTTAGAGGCAGTGCTATATATTACTACCACACATCACATTACCTTTTTTATTCCTTTGTTCTACTTAAAGTGACACTAAACTCAGGAGTTAAAGCTTAAAAATGCATTCAGGGACCTCAATTGCCATCAAAAATGTATCTATTTATGTATCACTCAGCTGTAGATCCACCAATCATCTCTGAATTCATGCTGACACTGTCCTTCCTTCTGGAGGGGGGCTACTTTTGTTCCTTACGGCCTGTGTGTGTGTTGTAAAGAAGCCACCGTTCCAAGATCACTCCCGGGATGGACTACAATCTCAATACAAATTAGCAAACTAAACATGAGATTGTAGTCCAACACGGGAGCGAACTTGGAGCGGTGACTACTTTACAACACAGAGGGACCATGGGGAACAAAAAGTAGCCACCCTCCAGAAGGAAGGACAGTGTCAGCACCAATTCAGAGATGATTTGAGGATCTACATTCGAGTGATACAAAAATAAGATACATTTTTGTTAATAGTTAAGGTACTTGAAGGTATTTCTAAGCTTTAACTCTTGAGTTTAGCGTCACTTTAATTGAAATGTCACAAAATTACATTTCATTCATTTCAATGCACCACAGCGCCAAACAATGAGGTATAGTGTGTTGCAACGTGTTGCAGAACACATGCAAAATTCCTAGCACACACAAACATTGGTGTGAACTGAGCTAATAGAACTTCAAGCAAGTTGCCTTGCCTGTGTGTTGGGAGTGTGTTAGGCAACCCTGCCCAATGCATCCCAACACATATGGTGTCAAAGGGCCCTCACGGGGTATCTACAGCTGGAACTTTTTTGTTGTTTTTAAAAGGGTAGATAATATTTTTCTGATATGGGACTAGTAACCAGTCATTTTGGAAGTTCAGTTGGAGTGCTGGCTTTTTTCTATGCCCAGCAATAAAAAAAAACATGACAGGGATTCTAACGCTTTCCAACTCTATCCAAAACTAAAGTGAAAAAAGTTTTGCCTTTAGATTCACTTTACAATAGGTTAAAAACTAAAGTAAATTACTTCTACCACTGAACTCATTAATTACTATTCACCATACAAATTGGCCATGCTCCATAGAAAGTGTCTCTTCTTTTATCTATATAAGTAGATACACAGCAAAGGTCGAAGATTAAAATAGCTACAACATAACACACCAATGGCCCAAGGCCAATTCACACCAATTCGTTGCGCTGCACTTAGCAGGGTTGTCCAACACAGTCCCAGTGCATAGACAAGGCCATTTTGTTTATATTGTATTAGTTCAGTTCACACCAGTGCGTTGTGTTGGGGTATGATGAGAAATGTAGAATATACTGCATTTTACACAGCACTTTGCAGCACACTACACTGCACCACAATGGGCTGTGGTGCATAGAAATTAATAAAATGTAATTGAATTAAAGTTAAAAAAGGTAAACAATGCAATACGTGGTAAATGCAAATGAACCTCGTGATACATTGCCCCCCTACACAATGCACACCAAGGGGAACCATTATATACAGAGCATACCAACCCACTGGTGTGAGGTGCCCTTAGGCCATGTGGGATTCCATAGGGAATAATAATGAGTACTACTGACCATCAGATTTCACATATGGAGAGATTTTTCAGATTGTCGGGATTCACATGCCTCTGTACAGAGCTATGAACCAACTGCAGTTCAGACAATTCAACAGATATGGAAAACTGGATCAAAAAGAAACCCACAAAGAGATACCTAAAAGGCATTCTGATGTTCATCCTCTCGGCGTATTTGCACAGTGTATCCCATGGACAGTGGATTTTGACAAACATGATGTCATTGTCGGTTACCGCATTCTAAAACAGACAAAAAAAAAATTGTGTGGAGAAATTATTAAACATTTACATAAGTGTCTATGCATAAACATTTGGCAAAGCCATTCACCCTGCAAATCTTTTTGAACTTTTGTTCTGTGCGAACAGAAATGAAACAATCATAGTATAGTTTTATTTTAGGTTGAATGTAATGTAATACTACATTGTGGCCACTAGATGGAGCTGTGTAACATAGGGAAAAACATGTTCCATCAGCTCCAACTAGTGGCTACAATGCAGTATTACATGACATTCAACTTGAAAAGAAAATATACTGTAAAATAATAGTTTTTGCCTCTATTTGCACAGAACAAACCTTCACAGAGCTCTGCAGGGTGACTGGCTCTGTCAATTGTTCATAAATAGACCTGTTAATCACATGGGATTTTATAGGTACCAATAATCAATGTATGAACCAACAAAAAAAGTTTGAAGGTTATTACCGTTCACATAAAAAAGATTAAAAACAAAAGAAAAATCAAAAAAGGATTGTGTACTCTTCCATACTTCCCTTTTATCTATCCATCTATCTATCTATCTATCTATCTATCTATCTATCTATCAATCTATCCATCTATCTATCAATATATAAAGTATATATGTATATCTCTATGGAAAAAATGGAAGCTGGCAGAGGCAGTGTGATGCTTTGGGTAATGAAACCTTGGATCCTGCCAATCATGTGGATGTTACTTTGACAAGTACCACACACCTAAACATTGTTGATGACCAAGTACACCCCTTCATGAAAACAGTATTGCCTGATGGCAGTGGCATCTTTTAGCACCATAATGTGCCCTGCCACACTGCAAAAATGGTCCAAGAATGGTTTGAGGAACACACCAACGAGCTTGAGGTGTTGACTTGGCCTTGAAATTATCCAAACCTCAATCTAATCGAGCATCTGTGGGATGTGCTGGAAAAACAAGTCCAGTCCATGGAAGCCCAACCTCACAACTTACAGGACTTAAAGGATCTGCTACATTATACCTTCAGAGGTCTAGTGGAGCCCTTGCCTTGACGAGTCAAGGCTGTTTTGAGGGCAAAAGGGGGACCTACTCAATATTA